GGTTTAAGTTTTGTTTAGAGTGTGTTTGGGATGTGTTAGTGTTGGTTTAAGATGTTTGTTTTGATTGAATAAAGGGATATTTTAAATTTAATTGAGATTTAATTTTGATATAGGGATACAAGGGATGGATGGTCGAATAATAGGGTTGTTCTTGGGGATTGGGCTTGGGACACGGGAGGGGGTATTGGGGGGAAGGGAATGGATTAAATAGATTTTAATCCGGAAGATATAATGGTTTCATTTTGTAGGGACCCATTTTTCATTTTTATTTTTTTATCGAAATGGGAAATATTATTATCGATTTATCTGGAATATTTCGGCAAAACATATATATATATATATCGAAATATTCGATATATTTCGGACAAAAATGGTCCGGGATTTGAACGAAATCGGTATGCCTTTTAGATAAAGAATCGGGGGTATGTATTTGTTTGTTTATAGCTATTTTGGGTGAAATTTTGTGTTTGTTTTCCGAGAATTTGGCGATGCGATAAATTTTGAGCCGCGGCCGATTGTTATGATTAATTGTGTTTTTTCTTAATGTTTTGGGCGAAATGAATTTTAGTTCGGCTTTGTTTGCACCTAGGTTGTTTGCCGGTCGATCGCGTTTTCGTTTACAACAATTGTGTATGCCGATGGAATGAGGCCAACAGCCCACGGATTCGTTCTTATCTTGCTTAGACGATCGCCTTTTACTGACTCTTTGGCATGACCTTATCGCGACTAGGCCCGGCCCTTAGTGCATCTCGCGACCTGTGCTTGGAGAATGGCATGTTTTTCGCATGCGATATTGGTGCCTGAGTTGCAAAAAATGTCTTGTCACTACGGGCATGACAAGATTTGCCCACCACGGCCTGGATTTTGGCCCCTGAGAGCTCGGCTTATACGATGCTTTGGGAAGAGAAAATGGAGCTTCGTGAGATTGCGTTTTTGCGGACGTTTTGGTCTCGTTTTAATGTTTTTTTTAAATGGGTTAGAATGGTCAATATATGGTAGAATTCTTTCTGAGAATTGCTTTCTTTTTGTTGATATCCGCCTTAATTTTCCTTTAATTACTGGTTTGGATTGGTGAATCGGGAATTGAATCCCTGGATTATATTGAAATTCAATGGGAAACCGTTCTTTAATTTCCAAAATATTAATCGAAATCATTAATCTAAGCTAATAATTGGGAGATCGTGTTACATATTTTCCGATGAGCGTACATTATGTTTTTGTGTTCATGGTTGGTTTTTGGTATGACCTTATCGGGCCGCCCTCAGCGACATAGGCTTATTTTTTTAGACGTATTTGAGAGCGATTAACCCGGCCCTTAGTGCTTGTGTCCCAAGAACGGTGTATATTTCGTATACCGAAAATCATTTTTTGATATATATAATAAAATATATGGGTGCTCAAGTTATAAAAAATGTCTTGCCAATACGAACTCTATAAGATTTGCTCTGAGAATTTGGCCCTTTGAGAGCTCGGCTTATGCGATGCTTTGGGAAGAGCGCATGAAATGTTGTGAGATCGTGTTTTTGCGGACATTCTGGTCCCGGTTTATAAATTGATTTTGATGAATTGGAATATGTTATTTTTTTGGCACTTGCCTCGATTTACTCTTAATTCTTGATTTAGATTAAATCCCTGGATTATATTGAAGTTAAATGGGAAATCATTTCCCTAATTTCTGAAAATATTAATCTAAACCATTAATCTAAACTAACAATTAAAAGATCATATTATGTATTTTCCGATGAATGCATATTATGTCTCTGTATTCGTGGCTGGTTTTTGGTATGACGTTATTGGGTCGTGCTTAGCGATATAGGCTTCTTTTTCCAGATGTATCTGAGAGCGATTAGTCCAGCACTTAGCGTATCCCGCGACTCGTGCTTGGAAATTGGTATATTTTTCGTACACGAAGAATTTTCGAATTACTCGATATATATATATAATTATATATGTTAATATCTGAGTTGCAAAAAAATATTTGCCGGCATAGAATAAATAAGATATATTTTGTTCTTGGCATATTCTATTCGATTTGCCTATTTCTTTCTTTATGAATATGATTGTGTATATTTGTTTATGATTATTAGTTGGAATGTGTTTTTCTTTAATTTGATTTTGTTATTCTCCTGTTATGGGTTTCATCTCGTACGTTGTTAGAAAGAAATAGGCCCCCGATAGTAAATTAATTAATATATTAATTTAATTATATATTTATATTATATATAATTTTTAAAATGGATAATAATTCAATTATTATATATTTTTAAATTATATATAATATTTGTTATATAAATAAATATTAATCAATTCATTATATTTACAAAAATATAATATATAAATATAAAATCTATTTATTTTAATTAATATATGTAAAAGAAATTATATTAAAATAAATATATATATATATTTTAATATAATAATAAATAAAATCTATATATGTATTTACAAAATATATTATAAAATAATAATATATATATGTTTAAAATAAATAATAAATAAATTATTTTATATATTTAATTATATATATTTTTTATTTTGTTAATTACTTTACAATAATTAATAAATAATCATAATAAATATAAAATTAATTTATAATAATTAATAACTTTAAAAATTTAATTATAATTTTAAAAATAATAATAATTAAATTATTTATTCTTTTGTTTTTGTATTTATATATATATTAAAAAGAATCCATTATTAAAATAATATTTAAAAAAATAAAAATTATCCCTCTAATATCGACTATAAAATACCTTATATTTTAGGTATATCGAGAATCTTAACATATAAAAATTTAGGGTAAACAAAAAATATATAAAATTCTTAACATATGGAAAAAGCGAATATCACAAACAAATAATTTCGATCACAATAAATAAATATACCACAATAAAGTGGTTTTAAATTTTTATACCACAAATATTAAAAATATTATAAATATAAAATATATAATCCCATAATTTATAATATCATTTCTTATTACAAAATGCATCGTAATAAACCATATTTAGTATTTTATAAAATAATAATAACCCATCTATATCAACCATAACAATAACAAAATATCAACCTTAACCCATTCAAAGCAATTTTGGGAACAAACTACTCGCTTGTATGTATATACACAATTCAAATCTTCTATTGGCGCTCATATTATGTTATTAATTGCATGTCTTTTTTGCAAAATGCCACCTTATGTGAGACCCCTCATTCCAGGAGGCAGCAATTGGGTGACAGCACTCACTGGCTTTTGTGCAACAGGGGGCAACGACCCAAAATCTAGCACTGCGGGAAACGATCTTTTGGCAAGGACACGCCATCGACGCGCGCCCAACTTTCCCGTCCCAACCATGCTTTTCTGTACAAGTGCCACCTAGGCCTCGCCACACGGCTTTGCCAGAATGCAGCGGAAACAAAAGGAACGACAAAAGCTGGAGCAGTGTCGTCCCTTGAATGAGCGCCAGCCGTTGCGCAGCTAAAATTTGGCATACTTCCGAGTAAGGGCTGCGTACCTGCGTGTGGCAGGACTATTCATTTGACGCCGAACTATGTAGCCAAAGCGACATGTCAACTTGCTTCTCCAAGTGCAAACGCAAACCCGCAAAAACACAAAGACACGCACACACACACACACCACAACCACAACCACAACCACAACCACAACCACAACCACAACAACCACAACAACAACAACAACCACCACCACCACCACAACAACAACTACTACTACTACCACTGCCACTGCTACTGCTACTACTACTACTACTACTACTACTACTACTACTACTACTACTACTACTACTACACAAACACAAACACACACACAGACACACACACACACACAAGCACCTTCTATGCACGTGAGGGTGCGAACACGCATGCGAAAACTGCATTTACCATGTATATTCAGAACGCAAGCATGAGAAATCTGCTTGCTGCTCATTTTGTCTCTTCAAGCAGAAACAAACAACCCTGTGGGCACGGGGAGAAGAAGGAAAAGCCGGAGACCACCGGCATGGCCGACCTTGGGCGCAAGATCGGTTGAGTCAGCTGGCAAGCTGGCGCGTCGTATCGTGTGTCCCAAAGCAGGAAGCGCTGGCGGCGCATTGATCGCATCGGGCGCCCTGCAATTCTGCCTCCGAAGCCTCCGAAGCCTCCGAAGCCCCCGGAGCCTTGGCAAAAGACCGCGACATTCTGTGAACGTGGGACCGAAAAGCAAAACTCGAAAACAAGAAACATAGATCACTGCCCTGAAGCTCCCATCTTGCTGGGCGATCTGTTGCGTCGACAGATTTGACATCCTGTGCTGCTTGCAAGTATCCTCTGATTCACAAACACACAAACACAAATGCAAGCGCAAAAACACGAACAAAACACGAACACAAAGACACAACCACAAAGGCACGGATACAAACGCACAAACCCAAACCCGAACCCAAACCCCAACCCAAACCCAAACACACCACACACACACACACACACACGCGCAAACCCCAGCCATCCCACCCAGCCACGCACGCACGCACACACAGGCACACAACACACGCACACACACACACACACACACACACACACAAAACACACCCACACACACACACACACACCCACACACGCGCGCGCACTAACAAGCAGGCACACCGGCACGCAGGCACGCAAATAGGAATCCCCATGCGCACGCGCACGCGCACTTGTGTGCGCGCCACACGCGCGCACACTCGCACACACGTCGCCGGCACACAAACTCGTTGACCAGGTCCAAAAAGAAGGGCCAAATGCTTTTCAGGATCAGAAAGGCCTCACGATGCAGCTTTGAACAAAAATGCCTTCGTATTCATTGCTTAGCATGTCCTGCAAGTCCATCACTCGCTAGGAACATATCTCGCCTTGATGTCTGCTGGCAAAATCAAATTTCTGACCAAACATCAACGCAAGACAGCCCACACACTCTTGTGAAGGTCTGGCATCTACACCCATCGATCTAAAAACATCCGTCTCCGTCAACGACGTGGCGTGGCCTTTGGCTCTGGTGGCTTCTCCTGGTGTTGCCGCAGTTCTTCCACTGCCTGATGTTTTTCAGATGGAGCAGTCAATCAATCACATGTTCCAAAGACTCGGATAACTTGCATGTCAAGGACCAGGCCTCTCGCAAGACGTTAATGTGGTATTGCTCCATCGAGTGGTCATAAACCTGGCAAAGATGTTCTTGATGGACTGCGGACTCCAATTTGCCAGGAATTGTTGAAATGTAGCCAGGAAGGTCTTCCAACCATAAAAAGCGGACAGGTTCAAGGCACGCCAATTCGGCGAACAAACGTACAATCCATGTTGAACAAGCAAACATCACACCTAACCACACTGCTAGCGAGAAATTGCATCTCCGCTTGTAGGTGTGCCTGTACAGCCTTGCGCTGGGAGGCTGCTAGCACACAACTTCTGTAATGGCGGGAGAGTTACTTGTTGGCGCTCTCAAAGATGCACACTAAACACTCAAACACCATGTAAACAGCAACCGGGCCACTAAATATAACCCAAAAAGAGTGAAACCAAAAGGTGGAAAGGTCCGGTTTGGTCAAGTGAGTAGAACAAACCCATCGCAGCCCTTGCCTCTGGCACCGGCAGGGCCGGCTCGGAGGCAGTCTGTGTAGCGACCAAATCTGGCAGCGCGGTAAGGCAAGGGGGTTGTCAAACAGGAGTACCCCGGTTGATTTGCGCCTTTCAAAAGGGGTCCAAAAAGGGGTCGCACAGTTGCCTCATCGCATCTCATCTCTGAAGGAGAAATTCAGAAACTCCCAGTCACACCACCCCGCTAAAGTACAGCAGTGAACAATGCAAGAGACACCCAGCAGCCAGCTTGCAGCTCTGAGTCTGGGAGTGGCCGGATGCTGTTTCTGGCTTGCTGCGTCCTGTACCCACCTAGAAGGCATAAATGAGACAACACATGCTGCCAGAAGCCCCATTTTCACCTATATACGTATCTACGTGTCCACATGCACCGGCCCGCCTTTCATCTCGGCCAAAGCCTGGATGAGATCATTCATGGGCTCCTGTCGCGAGAGACCAAACGCCCCGATGGAACTGGTCGAACGCAAAGAACGAAAAGCATAGGACGGCCGCCTCAATCAACCTTGAGAGCTCTGAGTGTTCAGCTGTTTTGATCGGCAGCTAAATCCTTCGTGCTGATCTCGATGCGTGCTTCCGGCTCAAATAAAACAGACGGAGTGAACGAGCATGCCTTGGCATTTGACAGCTAAGCGAAGAGCCCATTGCGGTTGCTTGCTTTGCTTGCCAGTCCTGCTGGAGGGGGGATCCAACACAAATACAACTCACGGACAACACAGACACATGCAACACAAGGGCACCGCAGAGCAAGACAACACAAAGACAGACAACGTCGAGAATACAGGGAACAGAGAGACAAAGAACACAGACAACACAGACAAAGAGAGCACAAACACAAACAGAAACACGGAGAGGGAGAGAGAGAGAGAGAGTGAGAGACAGAGCGAAACACAAACAACACACGCACACACATGCAAAGCCAACCCACGCACACACACACACACATGCACAACATGCACACGCACACGAATAGGCACGCAAGCATGCGCGTTCCACACACACACACACGATCAAACACACAATCACACAATCACACACTTACACCCACAGCCACAAACACCATGCATGGCTTGTTGGCACACCAGCACCCAACGCCCTAGGCAGGGTCATCTATCTGTTTTTTGGATGATGTGTCTTTGTCTCTTTGCCAAAGTTGGCCTCCACTTCAAAATCAGAGGCAAGGCACTGAAAAACCCGGGGCTTGCGAAGTGCTCCATGCGCCTGGTACTGGCTATCCTCATCGCCGCCTAGGGCGGTGTGACCGACCCTGATTGGCAACCTTTCGGTAGGGCGAACTTATGGACCCGCGGTGCCAAGACTAAGAGTCAACTCATTCCTCAAAATGATCTAAAGCAAAAGAATTCATCTGCCCACTATGGAAAGCATAGCTTTTCAACACAGAAAACTGCCAATGCCCAATACGCTATGACTTTCTTGTAGGGCAGGCCCCTCGATTTCATTCCAGCAGAATGTAAGGCGCCCCTGGTCTGTCGCCCAACAGTGTAGCTATCTGCGGAGTGACGCTTCTGGCGGATGGGGGGTTTGGATTGGATTGGCCTGGATTGCCCCCTGCGACAAGCCTATCTACGGTTGAACTCCTTGGTGGCAACAATCAAAAGCAATTACTGAGTCCTTAAGTCTTAAATGGCACAAATTGTTTGGGCAAAGCTGCCTCGCCCTCAGGATGTTGCACGACTACATTGTGCAAGGTCCCCCTCAAACGAACAAGTAGTCAATCTTCATCTGCACCGAGTCGGAACAAATTCATCCAAGACGCAAGCACTTTTCAGCATTGGGGGTCGGGTGCAACTTGAGCAAGCTAGGACACAGCAAGTGCTTTTCTCGCCGTAGCAGTACTTGCCTGGTATTTCAAACACG